ACATATATGTTTACGGGTTATTCTTGTTACCCTAATTCTATTTGAAGGTTCATTTTGATTATTGTAAACATGTGTTAAACTGTTAGTTTTTCACCTTTAACATATTTTTTAGGATTATTTTAAATTACCCCCAGCACATTTTCAAGGGTTATTTTTACAGGAGGATGATGGGGGATGAAGGCGTGCACATTGTATAAAACCATCCTGTCTGCTGATCTGCTTCCATTTCTGGAGCTTGGATCTATCCCAAACTTTCAAACAAACAATCCAAATTCTAAAAGAGGAAAAAACGGGTCCAAAACCAAGGAAAAAAACATAACCCCATGTCACCTGTCCAGCTTTTCTTCAGGCCCTCTCCATGGGTCGATTTTTTTTGTTTTCTCGAGGTGTTTGCCACTGTGTCAATCCAACAATATCAGTTGCTAATTTTTTTGTGTTTTTTGTTTTCCTGTTTCTTGGGTTCCTGGGAGAAATTTTCGCCCTGACAAACATCCATTGGCACAGCTTTCAACCCTTCACATTTTATATTGATGTTTTCATTGAGTTACTGATTTTGGCTACTGAACCATCAGAGAAAATTTACCGTAAAAACAACTCTATCACCCACCTCTTCAGGCACTCCATTGGACTGATGTTTTATTGGTATGCCGAGGTTTTGGTTCCTCATCTTAAAGGTTTGGTTCGTGTTCTTCAAACCTGAAATCACTAAAAGTGATATCTAACATAAAACATATATTTTTAAAAATGGATTGTTTCAGCACCACTTTGTTGTACAAAAAATATGTTTGTCTCAAAGTGTTTGCTCCTTCAAAAAGGCAAACTTGTATCCCTCACGACAAAATTCCTCTAAAAAAATGTTGTTTTCCTTCGGAAGAAATAGATACTAGTTACTATTTTGTAGAATGCCACATTATCTTCTTGGCAACTCTTGCATGCGACAGATACAGCATTTCTTGAAGAAATGTTGGTATTCCTTTGAACAGACATGTTCATTTTAAATTTTAAAGGTTCAATTTTTCATTGTACAATGTAATAGGTTGAAAGAAACAACATTCTTGTAGTCATGCAATATATCTTGAAAAACACTAGTCTAAGATGTACTAGTCTTTCGAACAACATGTATGGTTGAAATTGAAATATATATAATATTTTCAACGCAAATCCTTCCCCCTCCCACCAGTCAGACATCACTCCCACAAAATCAGCAATATGCCATTCAAGGATGCAATACCCCTAGCAGGAAGTGTACAGCCTATAGCTGGAGAATACAACCAATTTTTGTTCAATACAGCCTACAGCCCATTATCTCCTTTGAAAGGGGCAGCAATTGTGCAGAGCATGCAATAAATCTTTGAAACATGTGCTTGTATTCACCCCGCTTCGCGTGGGGTGGCCGCCCACACCGCAGGTTTATTTCGGTCCGTGAGAGGGGCTAGGTGGTGTGGAATATGAGGAGCAGAGCAGCACAGGAGAATTGACATACATAACTGCTGGGTTCGTGAATATTTTTCACTTTTCCCCCCCGTGGAGGCTTCCCAAGCTAGGGAATTTTCGCTTTTCCCCCCCGTGGGGGCTTCCCAAGCGAGGGAATGTTCACTTTTCCCCCCCGTGGGGGCTTCCCAAGCGAGGGAATTTTCACTTTTCCCCCGTGGGGGCTTCCCAAGCTAAGAATTTTCACTTTCCCCCCCGTGGGGGCTCCCCAAGCTAGGGAATTTTCACTTTTCCGCCCCGTGGGGGCTTCCCAAGCTAGGGAATTTTCACTTTTCCCCGCCGTGACAGCTTCCCAAGCTATGGAATTTTCACTTTTCCCTCCCTTGGAGGCTCTCCAAGCTGCGGAATTTCAAATAGCTAGACAACGACGCCTAGATAGTCCCCCAAATCCCGTGTTCTTTGAATGTGTTTCCATGTTTTTGCAATGGTTTCCTTCAAAGCACGGTACTTTACACTTTTGTCGCCATAAAACCGGTCGAAAACATCATGTTCGACAATGCTTCCAATTCCCTTATCTCCCCAACCGTTGAAAATACCGCTATTTACAGTGTTTTCTTCAATTTTTCCATGTTCCAATGCCGGTAGCCAACTCCAACATATATATAAGAAATCCTTCCAAAACATTGTTTTTGACAGTGTTTTTCCAATGTTTCCAGTCAAACAGACGGTAATTTACACGTTTTTTGCCATAAAGGCAGTAAATCCTTCCAAAACATTGCTTTTGACAGTGTTTTTGTAATGCTTCCAGTCAAGCATACGGTAATTTACACGTTTTTTGCTATAACGTCAGTCCAAAACACTTGTTTTTGCAGTGTTTTCAATGCTCTGGCATCCAAAAACCCTGCAAAATCTTGCTATGTACAATGTTTTTTTCATTTTTGGCCGTTTTTCCATTGCCGGAAAGCTACCAAAATGACCCAAAATTCCATTTCAATACCCTCTTGCGCTCAGACACCCAAAAATCCTCGAAAAATGTCGAAAACACCACCGAATTTTGGTCTCGGTGCGAAACCGTTTTTGGGCCCCCCCCAGCTAAAGCTGATATAGCGACTGCTATATTAACAAATGTGATTGAGCATTTAGTGTAGCTGTTTGCCCCCCAATAAGCACGCCTTCACCGCCAAAGCGGTGTGGGCGGATTTTTACACTTTCACAAAGGTACAGTACACAATTCAGTGCAGAAAGCAGGGGTGTTTTCAAGATGCATGATCTTCTCCAAAAATACTTGTTCAAGATACAACAGTCTTTTCAGGAAGTGCATTTCTAAAGTTTCAGTTGCGTTTTCACGCACAAAGCGTATTGTTTCCCTGCAAGTGTGTTACTGTTTTTCAGCAAGGCAACGCTTTTAAGGCAAAATATAGACTATAGATGATGCCTGGAAAAGGTCTAGATTCAATCGTAGTTAAACCATCTTTTGAAGAAGTGCATGTTCAATCTGGACATGTTCTTTTGTGAAAAGCACTCATGAACAGCATGAAAGGATGCACAACACTTTTCAGAAAATGCAGAATTTGCAGCTGGAAACTGCACTCATGTCTGTTCAATATCAAATACATATTTTTCGAGAAACATAAACTATTGTGAAAAAAAAACAATAAATTTGTCAAATAGTGTGTGTATATATATATAGTTGTATATGGTAATATGTACAACAATATAATGCATAATTAATTGCAGGCATCAAAATCATTGTATATAGACATGTTTTTTTTTTTCCAAAATGTTAAACAAAAAAACACATTCTTGGAAGGAGACAACATCTCTGCAAAAAATGTAGTATTCTGGACAGTCGTGATTTGTGGCTTCATGTGTAAACCATTTCGATACCTCGAAAAAACTGCAAAATCAATACTTTCACCACTCCACCCCCCACGGTAGTCCGCTCTCTATTTTTATTTCCCTTAAACTGTATTTTTACTACCCCTAAGGTGTACTTTTAGGGGTTAAATTTATTACCCTGAACATATTTTTAAGGGTTCTTTTTCATTTCCCTAAGGTATATTTTTGTTACCCTCAAGGTGTATTTTTAAATGGATATTTTTTTTTTATAACCCTTAGCAAATGTTTAAGGGTTGTTTTTATTACCCTTAAAGTGTATGTTTAAGGGTTATTTTTGGATAAACAATTACTGTTAGAGGATATCCTTAATGTATGTGACTGCATGTGTGTATGTGTGTATGTGTGTATGTGTGTATATGTGCATATGTGTAACTGTGTGTAATTGTATGGGTATACGCGTATATTATTTGTATGACTTCATGTGGATGTCTATATGGCAGTGTGTCAAAACCTTGTACCCCTGGTGAACATCAAAATAGCTGGTAAATGGATGTTCATTCCCCTAAAAATGGTAATAATAGGTATTGATCCATAGCCATATGTGTGCGGCTGACATGTCCACAATGTCCAACATACGAGGAGAGACGGCAACACGAATGCTGGATTGCGTTTGATACCAGTAAGTAAATTTACAATGCCAAAACTGGAATAAAACAAATAAAAACATTGGTTTGCTCTTAGGCAGTTTTGTGTTTGCAAACGTTTGTTTTTAAATGTGCGTTCGTGGGTATGCGCATATTATATGCGCGTTTATGTGAATGTGGGTATACGCGGATTGTTTTTCCTTATCCTTGAACCTTGAACTTGAAACTGTCACTGCTGTTGGGTTAGAAAATTCGTTAATTCTCGAACAACAGCTGTGATGGGGCAACATCCAGGTCATCTAATGTTGCCGCTCATGACACACCAGTGGGCATGCAGAAAAAATGTTTTCACATTGTGGGTGGATCAACGTGATTTGAACTTATGCGAACCTCCTTGAAGCGTCATTCGAGTTTGGGTGGATAAGGGGTTGGTAAATGGTTGCCGCAACAGTTCCATTTTTTTGCATTCTTCGCATCATCCTATCCAATGACTAGGTCATCACATAAGTAGACGCCGCATGATGTGTTTCTGCACAACGTTTCACTGAATCTTTGTCCGTTCGACATGAACCAGCAAAAAGGACTTGTTGTAGTCACCTCAAATTTCACATCAAACTCGGCAAACAAAACATAGCCGGAACAAACAGCAAAGCAATGACCCCGGGCGTTTGAAAATACATCAAGTCAGAACATGTCAAAACATGGTGTTTTTCTCTATGCTGACAGTACCAGGTGTGTTTTGTTTTTTTCTTTTTAATGTTTGGCCGTCAATGGCAATGGGTTGAATGAACTATAAAACACTTGTCAAAAATCACATTTCCATCTTATGACAAAACCCTTTGGAACCTGGACATGTGCATGTCACAAATGTCTCTGCATGTTTTGTCCATCTCTGCACGTCCATATTCGACACTCTTTCTCAGAAACGGGTTGATCACAAATTGTAAGACATATTTCCTATCCACAAGAACAACAACTAGAAATACACATTTTCAACAGTAACAGCACCTGAACAATGGTATAAATAAATATATATATATATATCCATTCATTCAATTTCTGGCCATTAGGGCATTTGCGTGCCAAATGTATTCCACAAAAGGACGCCGACTCCGGCAGTTTGCAACAGTGTTGGCTGCCACGCAGGTGCGTCAACTGTTGCCGAGCACTTCAGCTGTCCCAACATTGGCACAGCGCGTGAACAACGCACGGAAGTTACGTGAAGTTTATCGACCAGGGTTTGCTTTCCCAGCTTGGAGTGTGGATGACTTGCAAAGCGGTAAACTCGAAGAACTCGCCCAAACGGTCTCTGTGTATTACCCCATGGATGCAGATTTGATGGAAGTGGAGGAACTAGTTAAACAGCGGGAACCTGTGAACATTGCGATGAGACGATTGTATGATGAGGGCAGAATGAAGGAGTATTTTGGTTACAACAGAGGTGCTTACGATCGAAGTTCCCCAGAAAGGTTGATGCCAAATATTGCAATCTACTGCAAGACTCCAATGCAATTCGGAAATCAGCGGGAAGAGGTTCATGTGGTCAATGTGATAGGATTTGCGTTTGATTCTCCCCAACAACCAGATTATCAACATTTTCGCCATAAAGGAGGAATCCGAGATCTGATTCAAAAGATGAACCAGATGTGGGAATATGTGTTCTTTTGTGCACGAAACAAAGAGTTGGATCGCGTTTACTTGCCAAACGTTGGTGGTGGTGCGTTCTTTGCGGGTTTGCGGGAGCACTGTAACTATGAATGGCTGAAACGTGAGTCTTTGGAGCCGGTCCGGCAAAGATATCCGGATATTGAGGTTTTTGACTTACCTCACATCCCTGCTTGGGTCTTTTCTGATGGACGGTCGTCTCTGAAGTGCAGTTTGCTTGTGAATGCCTGGGACCCTTGGAGCATGGTGGGAAATGGCAATGAGGGTGACAATAGCCTGGATGGATTTTTTGGCAGGTGCACTGCCATGGCATTGTTGTGTTGGCCCCTGACAAATCCATATATGTCCTACCAAAAAGTACCTGCTATGTCGGCTTGAGACAAGAAATAGTTTGAAAGGTGCCTTCAAAGTGTGTCAGAGGAACTGTTCGACCCCATTTTGTACTCTACACTTCTTGGTGAACAACTTGCGCCTTTTTGAAATCCAATGGCTCCACTCCTGACGTGGCATTTGCATTTCACTGGACTTCTGGATAAGGAGGAATTCTGCATGCCGTGTCACCAGAGTGAGACTGGCAGCCTGACCCAACACCCAAAATGTTGCACAAGGATTTTTGAGGTGGAGCTGCAGCACAAAGGAAGAAATTTTGGCTTTGACAAAGCTGGAACAGATGTCATGGTTTGTTGGACTAATACTGATGAAATTTGTTTCTTTGTACTCGCAACAATTTTTTTTCTCCTTTTGTGCTGGTATTTTACATGTACAAACACACATGCATACGTAGCCGAATTCTCAGCAGCATTCTATAAGCTTGACTGACCCAGTCCCCCAGTTTACCAAGGGATTTTGTAATCAGGATAGATGCCTTCTTCAAAGTAGCAAGGTGTAGTTGTGAACTTCCGAACTTGATTTCCCAGCTGCAGATGTTTAGACTTCAATACGAGAGAAGCACGCCAGCTTTTCCGTTTCGGGTTGCTCTCATGGGCGTGACGGATGTCGAAGGAGCCTTGGGTGACTCAAGGGGCAACTCGGCGAAGCAAAAATCTGCAACTCTTTTCTACATCTGGTGGCTCCAGGTAGGTAGATAATCAAAACATGCATATGGGACTTATGGGACACCTTTTTATACATTCACCGCGCTTCGCTTGAAAGTGCCACCAACACTCAGCAGCAGGAAGGAACAGGAGTAGGGCCCAATGATGCCCATGAAGGGAGTAAAAGGAGGAAGAGGAGCTAGTGGGTGAAGTTCCTCCTTGTACATATATACAGGTGTTGTGGAATTTCAGGGGCAAACAAGGAGGAAGCGGATCATGTTGGCAGAGAAACGTAGAGACACTATGCTGAGCCTGGAAGGTGTTGCGCTGGATGGAATGAGAGCTTATATGTACAAGTAGCGCAAGTAGGAATGGACTCGAAGTAGTTGCAGCAGTAAGACCACCGAGGAGAGACAGTCACACAAGATGCAGTATGAGCCTGACATAGAATTCAAAATAAATTGGAATTATCATTAGCATTGTGGCCGGAAACAGAAGCACCTTAGCGTCGAGGTCAGATGTGGTCAACAAGGCTGAACAACTCAGAATCACGCTGAGTTCATTCACAAACCAAGAGGCTGACGTAACAAAACTCAAAAGTTGCACAGCTGAGTCCTCTACCTTGTGCAGCGCATAGCTTTGAGTTGTTGATTGTGGAAACAAAAAACGCTTTACAGCCCCTACCATTCGCCTCCTCCTGGTTGCTGCACAAGGCATGGCCTCCAAGAAAAGTTCAGCAAAAATCATGCAGGGAAGGCGCTGGCAAGGTCTTGTCTATGATGCGCTGCTTTGATGCTGACAGAGCGCTGCGCACGCAGTTCTACGATTTTTTCGCCCTTCCAGAAATTGCTAAATCAAAAAGAGATTCGGAAAGGCATAAGGCTTTATTGCAGACAAATCGCATTTTAACAAGCTGCGGGACAAATGTTGGTAGTTACATGTCATCCTGCACCCCTACCTGCAGGGTCACGACCATTTGCAATGTACTTCCCATTCCTAAACTACAATAGTCAACAGTGTCAACATGTAAAAGCATTGTAATGCGCAGTGTTTCTAGGAATCACAGAAATCAAACATCGCAAGATATGCAAAACAAAAACGGTGTTGGGTCCCATGTAGGTTTAGCCCACCTTCACGTCCGTTGCAAACGTGGACTTGGGAACATGTTTTTTTTCATGCCTTTTCGATATTTTTCTCAACAATGGGATCGTTGGGTCCGTTTTTCCCCAGTAGCGATAGCTTGGGGTTGTTGCCTCTAAAGGCGGATGGGCGCCGTCGGGTTCCCGGCGGTGTCTCGGTGGTGGTCTCGGTGTCTCGGTGGTGTCTCGGTGGTGTCTCGGTGGTGTCTCGGTGGTGTCTCGGTGGTGTCTCGGTGGTGTCTCGGTGGTGTCTCGGTGGTGTCTCGGTGGTGTCTCGGTTGTCTGTAGTTGGTGTCTCTAGATGGTGTCTCGGTGGTGTCTTGGTGGTGTCTCGGTTGTCTCTTGGTGGTGTGTCGCTGGTGTCTCTAGGTGGTGTCTTGGTGGTGTCTAGATGGTGTCTCGGTGGTGTCTTGGTGGTGTCTCGGTTGTCTCTTGGTGGTGTGTCGCTGGTGTCTCTAGGTGGTGTCTTGGTGGTGTCTTGGTGGTGTCTTGGTGGTGTCTTGGTGGTGTCTTGGTGGTGTCTTGGTGGTGTCTTGGTGGTGTCTCGGTTGTCTCTTGGTGGTGTGTCGCTGGTGTCTCTAGATGGTGTCTCGGTGGTGTCTTGGTGGTGTCTCAGCGGCTTCCATGCTGATACAAGGTGTTGACTGTGTCTTGGTCGTATCTTGGTGGCGTCGTGTTGGTGTGTCGGGGCGGTTGTGTTGGTGGTCCATGGTTGTGTCTCTGTGGTGTTTCTTGATTGGTCGCGCCACGCACCAGGTAGTCTTCAACGGTTGTATGCTGTTGTCCATCATGATTGCTGAAGATGACGGTGCTAATGCGGAGGAGGAGGAGGATGATGGTGATGATGATGGAGTTGGTGGTATTGATGAACATGATGGTGACTGTACTGAAATGGTGATGATGGTGATGGTGGTGGTGGTGGTGATGATGATGATCTGGAGTGATGGTGATGATGATGATGGTGGTGATGATGATGATGATGGTGATGGTGATGGTGGTGATGATGATGATGATGATGATTAAGATGATTAAGATGATTAATATGATGAATATGATGAAGATGATGAAGATGATGAAGATGATGAAGATGATGAAGATGATGAATATGATGGTGATGGTGAGGATGATGATGATGATGGTGGTGATGGTGATGGTGATGGTGATGGTGATGGTGATGATGAGTATGGTGATGATACCGACGACGCTGACGATGACGATGACGACGACGTTGATGACGACGACCTTGCGTTTGCAGGTTTGGGTTGAAGCGTGGGGAGGGATGGATGTTGACGTATGTTAGGAAGTAACATACTTATATAATTGCTATGATGCTTCTACCGAAGCAACTGCGAACATTCCTTCGTGCCATGGAGCAACCAGGGCAGTGGGCTGCTCACTTCACCACAGGAGTTGACATACCTGCTGCATGCTACACTTGCACCGAGACCCTCTCGCACAAATTTATCAAAGCAAAATGGTACTAGAATAGAAAACCAACAGGAAAGAAGGACATAATCTCTACAAGAAATAATCTCTACAGGAGGAAGGGAAAGAAGGAAGCTCCAAAATGCTGTGAGCACTTTCCAATTTACACATGTTACTTTCAGAGAGTGACAGGTCCCAAGAAATTTGCAAGCGTTGGTTTCAAAAAGTGGCAAAGACCGTGCAGTTTAAAGGTTTTAGCCGCAACACGCTGCAAACACCATGCCACCAGATGATAATTTCAAGATATTGCGAGCACCGTCCACTTGCAGGTTTGAGCTTCAGAAAGTCGGAAAAAGCAACCAATTTACAGGCGTCAATTTCAAAATGCTGCGCTTGCCATGCGATTTACCAATGATAGCTCCAAAATACTGCAAAGATCTTGCGATGCACTAAATTTTGCCCCAGTATGCCGCACATACTGTGCAAGTAATAGTTTTTGATTTCTAAATGTTGCAAGCATTCTACAGTGTACAGTCTTTTTTGCTTCAGAGCGCTGTGAAATCACAACATAGTTTACAGATATGATTCCAAACCTTGCAAATACCATGCAGTTTGCAGATGTTAGCTTCGCACTGCTGCTAAAAGATTGTCCGATGGCAAAGCTCCGTGCAATGAATTGATGTTGCATCATGCCAGGCAGTGTACATGTGCTAGCTGCAAAATGCTGCAAATACCGAGGAATTTTGCGGCAAATATTACGCGGCTTAGAGATTGTAGCAGCAAACGACCAACATATTATACACAGATACTTTCACATAGAGGTGCTTTCACAAAGACATGTTTTTACACAGACATTTGCGCATACGCATGCTTTTACCGAGAGATAGTTTTACACAGGTGTTTTTAGGCAGGGATGCTTTTACACAAAAAATACACACAGACGCCCGGGTACTTCTACACACAGATGCCCTCACACAGCGGTGCTGTTACAGAATGCTTGTACACGCACGAGCTTTTACACAGGGCTTCTTTTGACACAAAGATCGCAAAGTAGCCTTTACACACACAAGCTTTTACATTAAATACCTTACGCAGAGATGTTTTTACACAGGAATCTATTTGTACAAGAGCGTTTCTTTACACACATACATGTACGAATCAGGTTTCCATCCACTATGTTTTTACAGAGAGATGCTTTTACATACAAGTGCTTCTATACAGGGAGGGGCCTTCACATAGAGATGGTTTTACGTAGAGAGATGATTTTACAAAGGGATGCTTCTACTTACAGGTGCTCTTACACAGAGATATTTTCAACACAGAGATGCTTTTACACACGGGTGCTTTAAGATACAAATAAACACTTTTTACACAGAAATGATTTTGCCAAGAGAAACTTTTAGACGCAGGCGAGTTTACACGCAGTTGCCTTTACACAGAGATGCTTTTACACAGGTGTTTTTACACGCTGACACGTCTACACAGTGCTTTTACGCACACGTTCTTTTACGCAGAGATTCCTTTACACGCAAGCACTTTTACACAGAGACACTTTGACACAGTGGCAGGCGTGTTTAGATGCAAATACTTTTACGCGGTGATGTTTATTTTGTGCGCGTTTTCTTTTACATACACGCATGCTCTTTCACATGGATGCTTTTAATCACGCATGCTTTTACACAGAAATATTTTTACACAGAGACACCTTTACACAGAGATGCCCTTGCACAGGGATGCTTTCCCACACAGACACGACTTTTAACACGCAACGACTTTTACAGAGAGATGATTTTACATTGAGCAACTTTACACACAGATGCCAAAACAAACAGAGGCGCTGTTACAAAGGAATGTGTTTGCACGACGAGCTTTTACCTATGGGCATTACTGCGGCATGATTTCCGACGGCGGACACGCATATGGCGCAAAAGAGTTCAGCAAACACAGTTTCACCACAGCTGTTGAGGTTCGAGACGCATTTTGTGGGAAAGGGTTGGCCCAGCGCAAGCCCACATTGCAATTTGACCTCAGTGTATGACGATCGACACTTCGTGCGAGAGGCTTGCGTTTCGCGGACATCAATCCATGCCGCCCTGGCGCTCTAAGAAAAATAGAAAACATCAAGATAAGAAATTGATCTCACATCTGCCACTTTGCACCTGTGTATATCCACTTCTCGGTGTTTTTAAAAAAATCGATCTCCACCTGCATCTCTATATCTTTCGCAATACACCTGCATATATTCGCTTGGTAGCTGTGTTCAGGAAGATTCTGTGAACCTGCACCTATGCATCTGCACCTAAATGCCTGTCAGTAAGATTGAAACCTGCATCCACGCTTGTGTAAAAAAATGGTTTGAAAGATGTATTTAAGAATATGATTTTGTAGATGTACTAAAGTGAGGATGTTGAAGAAGAAACATATGATTATGATGATGATGTTGATGATGATGATACGGGCATGGTTATTGAAAGAGAAGAAAAATGCTGATGATGAAGATGACGATGGTGAAGATGATGATGATGAAGAAGAAGAAGAATGATGATACGGGCATGGTTGATGAAAGAGAAAAAATGCTGATGATGAAAACTATGATGGTGAAGATGATGGTGATGATGAAGAAGAAGATGATGACGATGATGTTGATGATGATGATGATGATGGTGGTGGTGGTGGTGGTGTTTTGATGATGGTTGATGTTTGCACTGACGGTGTTGTGATGATGGTGATGGCAAAGGATGATTATGACAAAGTATGCTGGCAACAACTTTTTGGGAAAAAGACCCTTTGCAGGTCCTTTCGGGAAATGGTGGTTTCTGGAAATGGTGGTGTCTGTCCTGATGCTGCTGGTGTCTTGGTGGTCTTTCAATTGTGTTTCGGTGGTCGTTGGCGTCTTGGTGGCACTTTGGGCGGTGTGTCCGTAAGTCTTGACGGTGTTCGGTGATGTTTTGGGTCTTGCTCATGTTTTCGTGGTGTTTCTGTGGTGTCTTGGCGGTTCCGGTGGTGTTTTGGTGGTATCGAAGATGCTCAATTGGCCTCAACGGAGATGCGAAATTTTGCTCTTGGGGTTGTATGCGAGGTTAATTGTCGGAGAAACCCATCGTTTCTTTTTGTGAAGATTTCGGCACAGCTTCTGCAATGGTGCTTGAGGAACTGATCAGCTGAATGACCTCCGGAGACAAATCAACGAGCTGCGGGATTTCTTGGAGGTGCACTTGTCTCGTCACACAGAACTTCTGGAGAGTTTGCAAGAACCTCACGGAGGAGAGTCTATGGGGCAGATAGAGGCTGAGTTGCCGCCTGAGCCTGAGTTGGCTGAAGGTGAAGGTGAGGTTAAACAGCCTCCCCAAGAACACCAAGAGACAGACAAGAGGACTTCTTTTGCCGATCGACAGGCAATGTTGTGGAGTGGCTCTGTCGTTGGAAGAAGTTCGCTGGTTTCAGCAAGTATTTTCCATTTTAAAGCCAGGGCACACATGCAATCACTCAAACTACGTGCTAGTAAGCGCAATCCGGCTCAGAGTTCTCAAGAATTCGGCTGGCAGTCACTTGTCCGAGATTTGGTGTTCTCCTCGCTCTTTTCAGCCATCATCACTGTGCTGATTCTCGTGAACGTAATTTTACTTGGTGTAGAGGTTGACCTTTACGCATCGCTGGATGTTAACCAGGAGGTACCAAGCTGGTATGGGACAGCAAATGCCATCATTGTGGGCATTTTTGTTCTGGAGATCGGCTTGAAAATCTTTGCGCTGGGATGCCGTGATTTTTGGCGTGGCAGAGATTCTGCTTGGAATGTGCTGGATTTCACGATCGTTTTTATTTCAGTCCTTGATGTGGTGCTGCAGTTGCTGTCTTCCACCTTGGACACCGGGATCGCCAGCCTGGTGAGGGCCATCCGGATCGCCCGCGCAGTTCGGGGCATCCGACTCATTCGAATCTTCCGATACATTACAGCTCTCAGAACCCTGGCGCTATCCATTATCAGCACGTTGGGTTCTTTGTTTTGGACAATGGCTTTGTTCATGCTCATGTTTTATTTCTTTGCCATTGTCTTAACTCAGCTTGTGGCCGACAACTGTCGATTCTTGAAAATGGATGGAGATAGCCTGGGCACTGGGCCTCTGTGCCGAGAGATCTTGCCAAAATATTGGGCATCAGTGCCTGAGAGCAGCTGGTATTTAAGACCTATGGTGCTGTTTTTTTGTTGTATTTTCCCGAGAGCATCTAAGCGAAGGGTTCTTCTAATAGTGGGGGTCTGTTATACTATACATCTTCACATCTTCCTCTTCACATCTACACAGATCATCTTCACATCTTCACATCTTCACATCCTCACATCTTCACATCTTCACATCCTCACATCTGCACGTCTTCACACATCTTCTCTCTCTCTCTCTGTCTCTCTCTTTCTCTCTTCTTCACATCTTCACATCTTCACACCTTCACATCTTCACATCTTCACATCTTCACACCTTCACATCTTCACATCTTCTCTCTCTCTCCTTCTCTCTCTCCTTCTCTCTCTCTCTCTCTGTCTGTCTGTCTGTCTGTCTGTCTGTCTGCCTGCCTGCCTGCCTGCCTGCCTGCCTGCCTGCCTGGCTGGCTGGCTGTCTGTCTGTCTGTCTGTCTGTCTGTCTGTCTGTGCCTCTTTCTCTCTCTCTCTCCCTCTCCCTCTCTCTCTCTCTCGCACTCTCTTGCCCACTCCCTGTCTCTCTCTCTCTCTCTCTCCCTTTCTCTCTCTCTCTCTCTTGCCTTCTTGCCCTCTGTCACGGTCTCTCTCGGTCTCTCTCCTTCTTTTTCTTTTCTCTCTTTAGGCCGCGGGCGGTGCCGACGAGGCGCCACGAAATGGCCACCCTTCACAAGAAATGAGGTTCGATCGTCAAAAACTGAAATAAAATTGCGCTTTTGAAGTGCTCGCGGCAACCTTTCGCACGAAATGAGTTTCGAGTGTCAAAAACTAAGGTAAAATTGCGATTTGGGCGCTTCGGCGGCAACCCTTTCGCACGAAATGAGGTTCGATCGCCAAAAACTGACGTAAAATTGCGATTTTGAAGTGTCCACGGCAACCTTTTCGCACGAAAGTTTCTTTGACATCACCCCCTGGACTTCTTCGACTTGGTCCTTGGTGGAAGCGGGTATGCTTGGCATGTTTACTTCCCTGACATTGTTTTGCATAGCAAAGAATGTCACGCACATGTTTCACTTTTTCGTTTGCACATTGACGCGTCGAAAGCACGATGTCACAAATCAATAAAATGCAGTGAGCCTGGCCAGTTGGGTCAACTCAAAGAATTCAGAGTCAAGCCATGCCAAAAGTCAGAGGGAGTTTCACGAAATTTTGGAAAGCACAGTTTTGGGAAGCGATTTCAAGAAAGCAGTTTTGGATTTTGAGATGCAGAAAAATCAGAAACAGAAGGCACAGACTGGCACGGAAATGGAAATGTCCAATTCTTTGTGCTTTGAGAAGGAAAATAAAGAAAATAAATGAAAAAAGACGCGTAAGACGCAATAGGTTTCGTTCCAATGTGGCCACCACCATGCCACCTTGTTCCCACCTTGAGCAAGCAAACGGCTCGAGAAAGAGATGCGACGATTGTCAATGCCTTTTCAGAACTCCTGCAACAATTCGCATCGGAGGAGCAACCTCAAATCTTCTCACTAGCAAAGGCAAAGGCAAAAAGGGCAAGGGTAAGTCCACCCAGGTAAGGCGAATGCTGAGGCTGCCTCTTACACTACGAACCCTACTTCAGGCGTTGCAGGAAACCCTCTCGAGGTTTCAGAAGAATAAGAAAGGGAACTTGATAGCCAACATCACTAGGGTTATCACGACAGCACAGAACGGCAAGTTAGATCAGGACGAGGGAGAAAACACTCTCCCCAAACTTTCCAACAGAGATCAGCAAACCAGAGGAAAGGGAAAGGGCCAGGGAAACCTCCCAAGAAAGTTTCCTCAGTTCAGACCAATCAGATACGTCAGCAAACGCAGCACAAGCCAGTTCAAAAGACAGAAAAGGATCCTGATAACAGCTGGGTCCCGGTTGTCAGAGGCAAAAAGAAAACACAGCAAGCAGAGTTAGAAATTTCAGCTTGGCCGCAGGGAGCCATCCTTTCTGACATTGAGCTATGGAAATGCCTCTACCACGGTTCTTGCTTCTTGGGTGCGCGCAGCCGAGTTCGCTGAACAATGTCGAAGCCTGGCGGAGATACATGGCCTCAAAGCCAAGTTTGTTCTGATCACCACCCAAGAAATGGCAGAGGCAAAACAGCAGCACTTCGCCATCACCACAGCTCCACATTCGCATCAACTCAGGAGGCTTTATTTGAAACCTCTTGCTACGGAGTTGCCTGACCTCCCACCAGATCCCATAGCTAGCAGCACGCACAGACCAACGGAGACCCAGCTTTTCGTTTTCGAATCAGCATTCCCAGATCCTTTGTGTCCAGGGACCGGTGGATCACTTTACAGTACTTTGCAGCAAGCTCCAAAAGAGGCAGTTGCCGCCTTAGTGTCCAAGAGTCAATAGTGAACTGCACAGCGCATATGGTTGCAAAACTTCAAGTCAAGGAACTCGTGACAGAAACATTGAGATCCTCGATGGGTTCATCCGTGTCACCCAGCTGGGCGCCAAGGAACCCGAATCCAACAACGGAAAAGGAGCCATCTTCGCGAAACCACTTGCCAACCAGCAACACACCATTTGTCGGCAGCCGATACAATGGTTAAAAAAGGAGCCGCAGGACACAGAAGCGCAATATTTTTCCAAATGCAGCACTCTCAGCTCCACTCAAAAGCTCCCTTTAGCTTTTAGGACAGGAGGAGGCAGTGGCGTTGGTTTGAGGAGAACTGATGGCAGCAAGCCTCCGATCACGGCCAAAATTTGGAGACTCACAGGGGCTCCGAATTTGTTTCGAGCCATCGATATCTCTCAGGCTTTGGAAGGAGCAGGATGTGCAGATGTCATGGCTATTCAGCCACCCAGAGGACAAAAGCCATGGCTAATCAAAGCCAAACCAGCCAAAGACAGTTCTGAAGATTTCTACGGCATCAGCACAGTTGAGCACACCTTACTTCTCAGCAAAGTTCCTCCCAGAGCACCTTACATCTTGGGGGTCCAAGGTCTTCGTCCGTATAGATGGAAGCCTTACAATTCATATCACAGCCAAGGTGCAATAGAAGAAGCAGAGGAGCCACTTCCTTCACAAATGGAAAGTGGAGGATCTCACGGGACAGCAGCAAGCAGCAGAACAAGCACAACCGGCTAACAATGACCAAGATGCGGGTATGACAGCAAGCAAAACGAGAGACAAAGAAAATAATTAGTCCCAAAAAAGAGCAAATGAAAAAGAAAAAGGTTGACTTTCTTTTGGGATTCAGAGCGAGGGAATGTGGAGGACAAGGTGCATGCGGCTATAATTCTGTTGGTGTCTCTATGCAACTTTGCAAAGAGCCCAATTACCGTTTCCCAGCAGCAGCCAAGCTCACACACAGGGGAAAACTTTGAGAAGATTCACCAACACATCGGCGCCTACAAAGCTGATTGTGAGGCTGCTTGGATACAGGATCCCCAATGGACCCTTACCACTGAAGGAGGCAAGGTTCCCACTACGTTTGCAGAATGGCTGGACTCTCTGCTGAGGCCATCCAGATGGATTTGTTAGCACACCTTGATAGCTGCAAGTCGCAGACTCGGGGTGCACAGCACGGTTCTCATTGAAGAGGCGGACGAGGTCACGCCGATTCAGATGAGGCGCAACAACTCTACAGCAGATACACTGGTGCTTCACCTCAAAAATAGCCACTATCAGGTTATTGTTCCGGACCCTCACCGTCCGGAGGAGGAGGACACAAACAGTCCGAAGCACCTAGCACACCAAAAAGACCGAAGATCCATATGGATCAGCCAAGTACTAGCAAACGCAGTTCCAGCAGTAGCAGCAGAACACCTATATAACTGGATGCCAAAACACACTCCTGAGAGCACACCCCTCAGAACGCCAGCTTGGCTTCCAGAGCACCTCAAGCTTCTACAGCCAAGAAATCACAAGCCAAAGCGTCCACAGCAACCGTAAAGAAGCGAAGCTTTGAGGAGATCATTCCTCCAACTACTCCCAAAAGTAGCTCTTGTGCGAAACCAAAGATCTTTTCTTGGCCTTGCAACATTTGCGGGACGGTGATCAAGGGCACCACCGCTCTGCGTTTGTCCCAAGATCGGGGATCACACATGTCCTACAGGCATTCTGATGTGCCCGGCAATACTTTGGCATCATCCCTGTCAGCTACACCTTGGCGCCTGAGCTGCAGGGTTGGAATTGCCCCTTGTGTTCAGCTAGTCTTCCCAAGTTGGGACCGGCTCAAAAGGTCAAGTCGCTCCGGCACCATTTTGCCACAAAGCACAAAAAACGTGACACCTCCCTCACCTGGGGCAGTCACCAAAGCAAGAATTGCCAGATACAGCAAAGATCCCAAGTCTGAACCAAGGATCCGTGACAGGATCCGGAAAACTCACGAGGAGCAAAAGGCCAGAGTGAAGACCAACGCAGTTCTGGACACCAGATTGGTCCACTTGGCCTGCACTTTCCAGGACGGTCCGGAAAGGTTCTATCTACACTTGCAAATCTTGCCACTGCATTGATAAAAAGAAAGCACCAGCCTGGAAAACGCAATGCGATCAGAACACTGACAGGAGCAAAAAGCACCAAGCAAAACAGGTGTGGCTGAAGCAATCAGCCCACAACAAGCAGCTGCTTTTGGACGCTTGGGGCATTACACTGTCGCAAACCAATGCCAAATTCCAGCGCCTTACTGAGCAAGGAATAGAACCAAATCCCGGCCCGGATGGGGCCTCAGATCATGGGCTTTGTCTTTCTTTTAACGGCCGGCAAACTACTTCTCCTTCCACTCCTTCTTGCCGCAGTACTATCACAGAGGAGAATGCGTCCCAGCAAGACGAGGACGAACCACCGGGGGCTTACCCCTATTTATAACAGCACAGTAAGCAACTTCTGAGAGGTGACAGCAATTCAAACCACTCTTCACACTACAGGCAGCGGCAGCAACACTCGATGCTTCACGCGCCCTCGCAGTGCACTGCTGCAACCTTGATCAGCATCAATACAGGAGGAGCGCCCGGGGTATGGAGAGCAATCGACAGATTCCTTGTTGAAGCAGAACAACCACCGGCAATCATGTGTATGCAAGAGGCAGCTCTCTCAGCCAATGAATATGACGCAGTGGCAAGCCGTTTCAATTTTCTTGGTTACAGCACTTTCTATGCCAAAGCGGCACATCCCCACAGGCCTTCTGGCGGGGTGCTGAGCGCTACTCGGAGGGAACTTAGGGCTCAGCTCCTGCACGCACATTTTGAAGAAGACCACCAGCACATTGCCATAAGTCTTGGTAGCTGGATCCTCCTGAACAGTTATGTTCCACCAAGGCCAAATTTGCTTGAACAAGCTCTGACGAGCGTCAATGAAATTTTGAGTGTACACAGAGCCAACGCAGGCAGCAGACCTTGGCTATGGACGGGAGACTTCAACGACTCTGCAGCTCAAGTTCAAACTACAGCAAACCTTCATGACGGCAGCCTCCTTCAAGCGCAGACCGCCTGGAAGGGCACTTACAGTATTGACCAGATCTGGACCAACAGAGGTGATCTGACGAGGGTGCATGATATCAGCACGGAGAGGATATCCAACCACAAGGCTTTGCAATGCTCTATTGAAGTCCTTTGGAAAGAGGCCACGCATAGAGGTATTCTCAGACAGCATCACCAGTGGACACCACCACCTGGCATGCAAATCAAAGACTGGCGCAAGCAAGTGGAGATTACTGTGGATCGTCAAAGTACTTCCTCCACTAGGCAGGCACTTGCGACAGCAATGTGAAGGCAACCAGTTGCCCACAACGCTAAGGAGGACACGGAGGAACCTCCGGTTGATACTACGTGGGGGCTCTACAACCAAGCCCTCTTTGATTGTTTTCAACACACGGCGACTCGTATGCTTTTGGCAGATTCAGAGACGAGCACTACAGCTTTCAACCTGTGGGAATTCAAGGCGTCCACAGCCCAGCCGAAGCCACTGGTTCCTCAACATATGTATGTGGGTCCGTCCCCGCACCAAGAGGACTTATGGCACCATGCAACAACGCAAACAAAACAACTGGCTTAGCAGAGCCACACGACTGGCAGACCTCTTGGACAGGCCTACCCTCAGCTCAGAGCAGCAGCAAGAAGTCAGCACTCTCCAGCGTCGCACTGGCTATTTTTCTCTGGATATTTCGCAGTTGAAGATATCCTTTGAATCAGCACAGCAAGAACTGCAGCAACAGCAGCGGACAGAGACTCAGCAGAAGATCAATGCGTGGCGTACAGACATGCAGAACAATGATCATAAATACCGTAAGTGGCTTCAATGTAAGCATGACGAACATTTCGCTCTTGTCCCATATAACGGTCAGATTGCTCAGACCAATCAGGACACTTTAAGAAGCGACCTACAATCACTGGGAGACGGTCTGGTCGGACAGCAGCATCAGCAAACAGCAAAAGATCGATGTGCTCCTGTGGAACCTTCCGCAACACAACAGCGCTAACATCAGACCACAGCCTGAGGAGTCTGCAACTATATTAGACAGAAGCTCACAGGAGCGGCAAGGCCGGGGTCTGACAAAGAAATCAAAGACTTGCCCGCGGCGGCTTTTGCTTCATTTGTGCAAATTTCAGAGCAATGGGAAATCTACGCGAGAACTCCCACTTGTCTGACTTGGTCTAGACAAATCCACTTGACGAAAGAGAACAAGATTCAGAACAATTTGATTTCAGCAAAAGATCTTAAGCGAATCAATATACTTAGCCAGTGGTGTCGGCCTTGGACTTCAACATGGGCAAAGAGACAATGCATTAGGGATTGGAGAAATGCCGCAATGCCTCTGACAGTGGCAGGAGGCGCGGGCTCCAGAGGGGCGGAGCACCTGGCCAGCGCCCTAGTTGACCTCCACGTCAAGCAAGGTTGGTTGGCGTCTTTGGATTACTCTCTTGGCAGCCACGGCGGCCATGCAACAGCTAGGAATGCCAGCAGGTTTATGCAATGCTCTTTGTTTTCAGTGGAACCACCAACGGCGCCTCCTTCAATGGCAGCAAGACATTCTTGCCCGGCCGCTAGAGACAGCAGTGGCGATCCCGCAAGGGGATGCACTATCACCACTGGCTTTAGGTGTCTACATGTATGCAGGGCTTCGTTTCGTGGAAGTTCAAACACCAGAAAATGCTCAGCAAAGGCAACGTTCCATCTACATGGATGACAGAACATGGACATGCAGTAGCCCAGCACTCTTGATGCAAACCTTGAGGAGCTGTGAAACTTTTAGCAACAGCATCGGTTTACAAGAAAACCCCGAGAAAACGCAATTGGTTGGCAGCAGCCAATACAGACGCAGAAGGCTCAAGGAGGAGCTTGCAGATCAACGACTGTTGGCAGAGAAAGTATCTTCCTCCGCTCTTGTCCTTGGTTGCTCAACAGGTAAAGCACACTGCATTCAGAAGAAAGAAAAGCAGAGGATTGAAGCAGCAAAAGCACTTTATGCCAGGCAGAGCATTCTTCCGGTCAAGCAGCGGACAAAGCTGAACGACCAACGCAGTCTTGGTGTTAGCAAGGCGGCATATGGTTGGGTTGCTAACACATCACCTCAGTCACACAGCACAGACCATGACAAAATGGCACGGAAAGCTAGCAGACCTTTCACTCAAGTAGCGATCAATCTTCACAATTTGCAGGTTGTGATAGGAACCAGACAGGTTCTCCTGTGGTTGAAGAGGAAATGCATGGAGTCTTGGACATGGCAACAAGACAGAGCCAGCCAAATCGCGCAAGAGGCGCGCCAGTGGTTGACAGACCGTGGTTGGGAGCAAATTCGACAAGGATGGCATCATCCAGTGCTTGGCAAAGAACTTCACACCGCCTTTGCACAAGGTGAAAGATGGATCCCAGTTACAGCAAAGTCCATTGCACATTTGTGCAGGGAGGGTTGGAGGACGCAGCAGTGGGAGGAATTTTTGCATTCAGGCAGAAGGGAGAGCCGGATTTTGGGCCTTTGGCCCTATGATGAAGTCAGGTTCTCACATGTGAGAAAAATTGCACAAGAAACCCAGGGAGCGGCTTTGGCGATTCTCTACGGGGCGGTTCTCTACGGGGCGGTGAGCCCGGCATGTTTTGGACTGCGCCCTTGAGCTGGGGCAGGTCACACTTTTTGTCCGTTTTGCGGCAGTTTGCAGGCAGACCATGCGCACGTCTTCTGGACCTGCTCGATGCGTCCCTTGGAAAGAAGGTTACCAGCCAATGATACTCTGCAAGCTCGATTGGGGTGGCTGCTGAAATAAATTGCGCTTTTGAAGTGTCCGCCGCACGAAACGAGGTTCGAGTGTCAAAAACTGAGGTAAAATCGCGATTTTGGCGCTTAGGCGGCAACCCTTTCGCACGAAACGAGGTTCGAGTGTCAAAAACTGAGGGTTTTTTGCGAGTTTGGTTGGTCCGGCGGCAACCCTTTCGCACGAAATGAGGTTCGAGTGTCAAACGCTGAGATAAAATTGCAAAATTTTGGATCCTCGGCGGCAATCGTTTGTGTGTGAAAGGTCTGTGTGTAAAAGCGGCGGCTGTGTGTAAGAGCATCTATGTGTAAAAGCGTCTGTGTATAAAAGTGTTTGTGTGTAAAAGCTTCTGTGTGTAAAAGCTTCTTTGTGTCGGGGCTCCTGTGTGTAAAAGCTTCTGTGTGCAAAAGCGTCTGCGTGTAAAAAGTGTCTGTGTGTAAAAGGTTCTGTGTGTAAAAGCTTCTGTGTGTAAAAGCTTCTGTGTGTAAAAGCTTCTGTGTGTAGAATCTTCTGTGGGTAAAAGTGTCTGTGTGTAAAAAGGCTTCTGTGTGTAAAAGCTTCTGTGTGTAAAAGCTTCTGTGTGTAAAAGTTTCTGTGTGTAAAAGCTTCTGTGTGTAAAAGCATCTGTGTGTAAAAACTTCTGTGTGTAAAAGTTTTTGTGGTTGAAAGCTTGCTGTGGGCAAAAGCTTCTGTGTGTAAAAGTGTCTGTGTGCAAAGGCTATCTCGGGAATGCCTCCACGTCGGCGATGGCGGGATCCGACGTCGGTGATGGCGGGATCCGACGTCGGTCGGAGTGCGAGACTGTCCATGAAGGTTGAAATTGAAGGCCCCCAGAAGATGGCCAAAAATGATATGAAAAAGAACAAAGAAAGAAACAAAACAAAAAAGAATGGGAAATTCATCCAGGGGATGATGAAAAAAAGAGAGAAGAATGCATGAAGGGGCCGAAGCGCCCAAAAAAGAAAAGAAAAGAAACCGGAAAGAAATGCAGAACGATGGTCAGGGTTGTGGTTTTGGTTGCGTTTTTTGGTGGCTTCGGCGGCTTGTTTGGTTCTGTTCTGTTGGTCGTGTGGATTGTTTTTCCTGGACATGCACCAGCTGTGACCCGACTGTATTTAAACTTAGCCTAAACGGCTCCTGGCACGGCGAGTGTGCTATGGCGTAGCGCCGATGCAGCAATGCAGCAATGCAGCAGTGCGGCGGCAGCTTGCGCTGATGTGCAGCCGCTCACTGCAATACGTTTTGGTTGTCAGGTTGGGACTTGGCAGCAATACAAAGATGCTGGTAACGCATCTGCCAATTCAATCCCTGACTTTGATCATGAAGTTGACACTGTTGGGGTGCTTTTTGACTGGTGGATTCTGGGGTTTGTTGGATGGGTTGTGCCGCAATTGCCGAAGCTTATTCACTACGCTTTGTGTTTCAATTTTTGTAGCCGGGCATTAATGTTATGGTCAATGGCTGGCCACCCGCAGAGCTCACGGGGCCGCTGGCCCTGATGGCTGGCATGGTGCTGAGCTTCAGCACATCCCACACGGTGCCATCGCGGTCTTTCATCAATGTTCCGATCGATGGTTTTGAAGTGGCTGTGTCCCACAACAATTTCTTCAATCCCGGCAAGTCAATATACCTAAAGCGGGAAAGTGCTCCGAAGCATATCATTGGATGTTAAATGTTTTTCCCAGCCGCTTCGTCTGGGGGGCTGGCGGGCGTGTTCTGTTAGCAGCCGAGGCTGGCAATGGCTATGGAAGTTCAGGACTCTAAGCGAGCAAAGACGGAGTAGGCTGTGAAGTCTTGCCGAGCATTTTTCCCGAATGCGCAGCGAAGGGTTCCCGTTTATAGTTGGGGGTCTGGGGGTTGGACCTTTGTTCGCCGCCAGTTGGTCGGCGCGTCGTTTTTGGCGTCGTTTTCGCGTCGTTTTTCACGGCGTTTTCGCGTCGTTTTTCGCGTCGTTTTTCGCGTCGTTTTTCGCGTCGTTAATTCGGTGTCTATAGGGGAAGCTGCAAAACCTCGTGCTTTTTGCCACGTGGACGTCGCCGTGTCTATACGGGAAGCTGCAACACCTGGTGCTTTTTGCTACGTGGACGTCGCCGTGTCTATAAGGAAAGCTGCAACACCTCGTGTCTTTTACTACGTGGATGTCGCAGTGTCTATAGGGGAAGCTGCAAAACCTCGTGTTTTTTGCTACGTAGATGTCGCAGTGTCTATAGGGGAAGCTGCAAAATCTCGTGTTTTTTGCTACGTGGAAGTCGCAGTGTCTATACGGGAAGCTGCAAAACTTCGTGTCTTTGCTACGTGGACGTCGCCGTGTCTATAGGGGAAGCTGCAACACCTCGTGTTTTTTGCTACGTGGACGTCGCCGTGTCTATAGGGGAAGCTGCAACACCTCGTGTCTTTTGCTACGTGGATGTCGCCGTGTCTATAGGGGAAGCTGCAACACCTCGTGTTTTTTGCTACGTGGACGTTGCCGTGTCTATAGGGGAAGCTGCAACACCTCGTGTCTTTTGCTACGTGGATGTCGCCGTGTCTATAGGGGAAGCTGCAACACCTCGTGTCTTTTGCTACTTGGATGTCGCAGTGTCTATAGGGGAAGCTGCAAAACCTCGTGTTTTTGTACGTAGATGTCGCAGTGTCTATAGGGGAAGCTGCAAAACCTCGCGCTTTTCGTACGTGGACGTCGCTGTGTCTTTAGGGGAAGCTGCAACACCTCGTGTTTTTTGCTACGTGGATGTCGCAGTGTCTATAGGGGAAGCTGCAAAACCTCGCGCTTTTTGTTACGTGGACGTCGCCGTGTCTATAGGGGAAGCTGCAAAACCTCGTGTTTTTTGCTACGTGGAAGTCGCAGTGTCTATACGGGAAGCTGCAAAACTTCGTGTCTTTTGCTATGTGGATGTCGCCGTGTCTATAGGGGAAGCTGCAAAATCTCGTGTCTTTTGCTACGTGGATGTCGCAGTGTCTATAGGGGGAGCTGCAAAACCTCGTGTCTTTTGCTACGTGGATGTCGCAGTGTCTAAAGGGGAAGCTGCAAAACCTCGTGTCTTTTGCTGCGGAGATGTCGCCGTGTCTATAGAGAAAGCTGCAAGACCTTGTGTCTTTTGCTGCGGAGACGTCGCCGTGTCTATAGGAGAAGCTGCAACACATCGTGTCTTTGCGCAAGCTTTCTAGTATACGGTAGTACTGGAACGTGTTTGTGCGAATTTTGTAGTATACGGTAGTACTGGAGCGACTTTGTGCGAGTTTTGTAGTATACGGTAGTACTGGAACGTGTTTGTGCGAGTTTTGTAGTATACGGTAGTACTGGAACGTGTTTGTGCGAGTTTTGTAGTATACGATAGTACTGGAACGTGTTTGTGCGAGTTTTGTAGTATACCGTAGTACTGGAACGTGTTTGTGCGAGTTTTGTAGTATACGGTAGAACTGGGAATGACTTTGTGTAAGTTTTGTAGTATACAGTAGTACTGGAACGTGTTTGTGCGAGTTTTGTAGTATACGGTAGTACTGGAAGGTGTTTGTGCGAATTTGTAGTATACGGTAGTACTGGGAATGACTTTGTGCAAGCTTTCTAGTATACGGTAGTACTGGAACGTGCTTGTGCGAGTTTTGTAGTATACGGTAGTACTGGAACGTGTTTGTGCAAGCTTTGTAATATACGGTAATACTGGAACGACTTTGTGCAAGTTTGTAGTATACGGAAGTACTGGAGCGACTGTGTGCAAGCTTTGTAGTATACGGTAGTACTGGAGCGACTTTGTGCGAGTTTTGTAGTATACGGTAGTACTGGAACGTGTTTGTGCGAGTTTTGTAGTATACGGTAGTATTGGGAATGACTTTGTGTAAGTTTTGTAGTATACGGTAGTACTGGAACGTGTTTGTGCCAGTTTTGTAGTTTACGGTAGTACTGGAACATGTTTGTGCGAGTTTTGTAGTATACGGTAGTACTGGAACGTGTTTGTGCAAGCTTTGTACACAGTAGTGCTCGGAAGTGCTTTGTGCAAGCTTTGTAGTATACAATAGTACTGGAACGTGTTTGTGCAAGCTTTGTACACAGTAGTGCTCGGGCGTGCTTTGTGCAAGCTTTGTAGTATACAGTAGTATTGGAACATGTTTGTGCAAGCTTTGTAGTACACAGTAGTACTGGGAAGTGCTTTGTGCAAGCTTTGTAGTACACAGTAGTATTGGAACGTGTTTGTGCAAGCTTTGTGGTATACAGTAGTACTGGGATGTAGTACACAGTAGTACTGGAACGTGTTTGTGCAAACTTTGTAGTACACAGAAGTACTGGAACGTGTTTGTGCAAGCTTTGTAGTACACAGTAGTACTGGAACGTGTTTGTGCAAGCTTTGTAGTACACAGTAGTACTGGAACGTGTTTGTGCAAGCTGTGTAGTGCACAGTAGTACTGGAACGTGTTTGTGCAAGCTTTGTAGTATACAGTAGTACTGGAACTTGTTTGTGCAAGCTTTGTAGTACACAGTAGTACTGGGAGCGACTTTGTGCAAGCTTTGTAGTACACAGAAGTACTGGAACGTGTTTGTGCAAGCTTTGTAGAACAAAGTAGTACTGGGAACATTTCGAAGTAATTTGTGAAAACTTTGTGTAAAGTAAGAGGAGTGTGGAGTGTAAAGTGTGGAGTGGGGAGTGTAGAGTGCGTAACGTGTAGAGTGTGGAGTGTGGAGTTTAGAGTGTAAAGTTTAGAGTGTAAAGTGTAGAGTGTGGAGTGTAAAGTGTAGAGTGTGGAGAGTGAAGTGGAAAGTGTAGAGTGTGGAGGAGTGCGGAGTGCGGAATTGAAAGTAAGGAGTGTGGAGTGTAAAGTGTGGCGTGTGGAGTGTAAAGTGTGGAGTGTGGAGTGTGGAGTGAGGAGTGTGGTGTGTGTCGAGTGTATAGAGTGTGGTGGAGTCTGTGGAGTCTAGAGTGTGGAGTGCAGTGTGTGGAGTGAGGAGTGAGGAGTTTGGAGTGTAAAGTGTTGAGTGTGGAGTCAGGAGTGTAAAGTGTAAAGTGTGGAGTGTAAAGTGTAGAGTGTGGAGTGTGGAGTGGAAAGTGTCGAGTGTGGAGTGTGGAGTGTAGAGTGTAAAGTGCAGTGTGGGGAGTGTAAAGTGTGGAGTGTGGAGTGTAAAGTGCAAAGTGTAAAGTGTGGAGTGTAGAGTGTAAAGTGTAGGGTGTGTGTAAAGTGTGGAGTGTGGAGTGTAAAGTGTGGAGTGAGGAGTGTGGAGTGTAAAGTGTAGAGTGTAGAGTGCGGAGTGTGGAGTGGAAAGTGTCGAGTGTGGAGTGTAGAGTGTAAAATATAGTGTCAATGTAAAGTGTTGAGTGTGGAGTCAGGAGTGTAAAGTGTAAAGTGTGGAGTGTGGAGTGTGGAGTGAGGAGTGTGGTGTGTGTGGAGTGTAGAGTGTGGTGGAGTGTGGAGTGCTGCGGCTTTGTCTTGTATATTCGACTGGTAGTCTGGTAAGGTAGGAAGATTGTGTCTTATTTTTGAACAGTGCTACAGCTGGGGTTTTCGTAGGAGCTGAACCGTGATACATCATCTTCATGGTGCTCTATAGAATTGCTGCACCAATACCCCCGATGTACGAAAATGAAATTTTCCTTCCAACTTTTCAGCCCCTTCTGCCAGGCTCTGTGGCAAACTTTTCGTAGGCCGAGGACTACTGGGCCAGAGCGGTTGCAGTCGTGTGTTTCGCTCGTGTGACGGCCATAGTCTTGTTTTTTTTCTTTCGCTTCACTTTGATCGAGTTCGTTTTCCTGGTTTGTTGCTTTGTATTGTATATTCGACTGGTAGTCTGGTAGGAAGATTGTTTCTTATTTTTGCACAGTTCTACAGCCGGGGTTTTTGTAGGAGCTCAACCGTTATACATCATCTTCATGGTATGAGCGCTCTATGGAATTGCTGCACCAATACCCCCTATGTACGAAAATGAAATTTTCGTCTTCTGGCGCGTTTACTCCTCAGCATGGACTCGTTCGTCCCCCTTGCAACAATGGCCTAAGCGGGCTGTACACCCTGAAGTGTGCCATGGAAAGCGCGCGCAAGGTGCGGAAGATTTGGCTGACGCCATGCAGCAAATTCTGGTTGACAAAAAAAGCTTTTTGGCCTCCATGGATTTCTCTCAGGCTTTCGATCATATGAACCCTCTCATTACCTCCATTGGGCTTTCTGGCTCGGGTTTTCTCCCCCGATTGGCTTGCTCCTGAAGAATGTTTGGGGAGGTTCAATTAGGTTTGTGGAATACGAAGGCTTTGTGGCTTCTACCACTCCGCCATGCCGCAGGGCGATCCTTTGGCGCCACTCATTTGCACTTGCTGGATGACCTCTGGGATCCGTTGGGTTGAAAAAGGCATCAACGAAAGAGTCACCTACGGGTGTTACATGGACGATCGCAATTTTGGTCACCCAATGTGGATTAGGTAATTCAGCGCATTAACCGCTGGCAGCAATGGTCTCAGAAAATGGGATTGCGTGAAAATCCGTCAAAAACTCAAGTCACGGCAAAAACCTTCAGAGACTTTGAGCTGTTGCTTGGAAAGGCCTCATGCTGGGCGAAGCCCGAGATCAAAATCCTCGGTGTTACAACCACTGTTCGTAGTCGTACCAATAGCGATAGTGAAAACACTCGGCTTTCTGAAGCCATGCAACGGGCGCGAGCCCTTTTTTCCCTGCCTTTGGGCTGGGAGCAAAGAGTAAGGGCTTATCAGTCCTTGGTGCTTTCTAAGGCTTCCTATGGTTGGATTGGGCATAACCCTCTACTTAATCAATGGGACAAGTTGTTTTCGCTTTTGACCACTTCCTTGAATCAACAGCGGATCGGCTCTCGTGAGCTCAAAAAAAATTCTTTGGGGTGCCAACTTTTCTCCCCATTGTTCTTGTCACCCGTAGATATGCCCGGGTTGCTCGTAACCTTCTTCGACCTAATTCCCCCAAATGGCTCACCGCGGCCTTTTGTTCTGTTTCCATTTTAATGAAAGAACTTCGTGACCTGGGGTTTGTTGAAATTTCCCCGTGGTATTGGAAGATGGATCAACCGTGGATTGACCTTGTCAAAGCTGATGAGAAATATCTTGATCTTCGCATCCATCATCAACCCGTTGAGTTGGCCCTTCACAACATTCGAACCTTGTTTCGATTCCGATGTTTTGAAAATTTAAGCAACCACCCCAAAAGGAGGGATAGCGAGTGGTTGCGTGAAACTGTGGGCTATGACAAGTCTTTAACACATTTTGCCCGCATTGATCTAGTGCGCACTAGACAGCAACTCAGCGTTTGGATCCTTCCTGTCAACCACTGCTCGCTGGAGCGGCTTTCACGAAGCTGACTTGGTCGTTGCATAAAATTGCTGCCCTTGTGTGCAGCAGGCGTAGGCACTCATCAACACCTCTTTTGGGAAACCGCCCAAAATATACTCCCAAATGGTCGTCCCCCGGATAACCCCTTGCAACTTCGCTTTGGATGGTTTGTTCTGGGTAACGATTCTCTGTCTCAACTTTACTGTGATCATATGACGAGCACGGCATTTCGCATACTCACACTGCGCCATGGTGGCGCAGAGGATGAAATTTCCCATTGACATTCCTATGTGCGGCGCTGGCGCTTGCGCGCTGACGCGGCACTCTTTGCAGCTGATGGCAATCGTCGGGCAGCAGCTGCTCATACTTCTTCCAAGCTTCTGTGTGTAAAAACTTCTGTGTAAAAGCTTTTGTGTGTAAAAGCTTCTGTGTGTAAAAGCTTCTGTGTGTAAAAGTGTCTGTGTGTAAAAAGTTTCTGCGTGTAAAAGTGTCTGTGTGTCAAAGCTTCTGTGTGTCAAAGCGTCTGTGTGTGAAAGCTTCTGTGTGCAAAGGCATCTGTGATGTGTAAAAAGAATTGCGTGTAAAAGCTTCTGTGTGTAAAAGCGACTGTGTGTACAAGTGTGTGAGTGTTCGGGAAAAATCTTCTGTGCGTAAAATCTTTTGTGTGCAAAAGCTTCTGTATGTAAAAGCTTCTGTGTGTAAAAGCTTCTGTGTGTAAAAGCTTTTGTGTGTAAACGCGTCTGTGTGTAAAAGTCTGTGTGTAAACGCTTCTGTGTGTAAAAGCTTCTGTGTGTAAAAGCTTCTGTGTGTAAGAGCTTCTGTGTGTAAAAGCGTCTGTGTGTAAAAGTGTCTGAGTGTTTGGGAAAAATCTTCTGTGCCTAAAATCTTCTGTGCGTAACAGCTTTTGTGTGTAAAAACTTCTGTGTGTAAAAGCTTCTGCGTGTTAAAAACGTCTGTGTGTAAAAATGTCTGTGTGTAAAAAGCGTCTGTGTAAAAGCTTCTGTGTGAAAAGCTTGCTTTGTGTAAAGGCTTCTCTGTCTAAAAGCTTCTCTGTGTAAAAAAATGCGGTGTGTAAAAGCTTGTGTGTGTAAAAGCGTCTGTGTGTAGAAGTGTCTGAGTGTTTGGGAAAAATCTTGTGTGCGTAAAAACTTTTGTGTGCAAAAGCTTGTGTGTGTAAAAACTTTTGTGTGTGAAAACTTCTGTGTGTAAAAAACTTTTGTGTGTAAAAACGTCTGTGTGCAAGAAATTTTGTGTGTAAAAACTTTTGTGTGTACAGATTTTGTGTGTAAAAACTTCTGTGTGTAAAAGCGTCTGTGTGTGTGTGGGTTTGTGTGTGTCTGTGTGTATATATGTGTAAACGTGTTTCTGTGCGTGTGTCTGTGTTTGAGAGCCTGTCAGCATATCTGTGTGTTTGTATTCTTTCAATTTCTTTCACATCTTCTATACAGCCCTTGTCTGTCTCTTGCAACTAAAACCCTGACATCTTCACATCTTCTTAACTTGACATCTACACATAATGAACATATTCGCATGATCTCAAATAACATTCTCATGAACATATTCATGCAAGTCTTTGGCGTCTGAAATTCATACAACTACATAACACATTTGAGTACACCTATACACACCTACTCGCCCTTGGGCCAACCGTCGTCTAGTATTTTAATCATCCAACCTTTTTGCACAGCAGAACCGGTGTGGGTCATGAACTTATGCATCAAATTTACCAACATCCAGGAATGAATAGGCCGACTAACAGTGTTCGGTGCAGTGAACCTGCCCTTATGCCTTCGTTCCCGCCTGTTAAATCACCGAGGCATGCTTACACTGTTCATGGCCATTACCAATGGCGTCAGCTGGGATGAAACCATACGACCTCTTCGCGAAGTTTCCAAAGTGGCCATCATCTTCGTTGTTGCTTACGTAGCACTTGCTGTGTTCGCGATTCTTAATGCGACTTGTCCGTATGATCTACAGCACCTTTTGACAATCAAGCAGGAACGATGAATAACTAGTTTCATGTGGCTAGGCATGTTAGCCCTTCCAATGGGCATGTTAGCCCTTGCAAATTGAACAACTGTGTGTGGAATGTCATTTTCTTTGGTGAAGTGGAGTAATTGTCCCAATGACCAAGGCGCATGTTTTTCCATGAGAGTTGCTTTGGGTATGTGCCATGCTGTGTGCCTGTTTGGCCCTTCCTCTGGGATTGTGCTTCTCATGATCCATGTCAAAAGCACTCGATTTGCAAACGAATGGCAAACCGTAGATGGGTTTGTCCAAAAAGGGGGGGTGTACCCCAAAATGGCCGTTTGAATTATTTGAATTATATAGGAAACTGAGGATAAACCATGGGATTTGAGATACCAGTTTTTGGGAGCGGAGCTTCAGCTTTTTGGCGAGTCACCCCAGTGACACTTGAAGACTTGTCTTCCAGTAGCTTGGCATCTCCACCAATCTGAGGTTGTCACTGGCGTCGCTCAGCTTTATTGCTACCAGCTTTTGAGTTTTGTCCACATGGTAGGAGAATTTCTTCAAGGCAAGTAGAGGCAACCTCAAACTTCATCCTGACGGGCGAAATGTGAGGTCTTTTGCAACACTGCGATTGAATCTGCTCATGCAGATAAAGAGGTGGCCACTATCAAGCAAGTTAATTCAAAGGACCAACAGGCGCTGCGGATGACCTTCAAAGGGCGTGTTTTTCCCTCTTGTCTCTTGTTGATTTCGGTCAAGTGAGACCCCTATGCTCATCACATCAAGGTGTTTTTTCCCCAACAGCGTAAGCTAAGGGGGTCTTCAGCCCAGCATAGCTCCGGTGTGCACTGGTGCATGCAGGCACCGGGTCAGGTTCAACGAGGTTCCGGAGAAGGTCTGGGAAACAGGGTTCCGGAGAAGGTTCTGGAGAAGGTTCCGGAGAAGGTCTGGGAGGCTTTGGTGCAAAGCCAAGCAAGTCAGGTTCAACAGGGTTCCGGAGAAGCTTCCGGAGAAGGTTCCAGGAAGCCTCGGTGCAAAGCCAAGTCAAGTTCAACAGGGTTCCGGAAAAGGTTCCGGAGAAGGTCGGGGAGGCTGTGCAGAGCCGGGTCAGGTTCAACAGGGTTTGGAGAAGGTTCCGGGGAAGGTTCCGGAGGGTCTGGGAGGCTTTGGTGCAGGGCCAGGTCAGGTTCAACAGGGTTCCGGAGAAGGTTTGGGAGGCTTTGGTGCAGAGCCAGGTCTGGTTCAGGAGAAGGTTCCAGAGAAGGCTCCAGGAGGCTTTGGTGCAGAGCCAAGTCAAGTTCAACAGGGTTCCAGGAAGACTTGGTGCAAACCCAAGTCAATTTCAACGGGTTCCGGAGAAGGTTCCGAAGGCTTGGGAGGCTTTGGTGCAGAGCCAGGTCAAATCCAATAAGGTTTCGGAGAAGGTTCTGGAGAAGGTATGGGAGGCTTTGGTGCAGAGCTAGGTCCGGTTCAACAGGGTTCCGGAGAAGGTTCCGGAGAAGGTTCCGGACAAGGCTCCGGGAGGCTTTGGTGCAGAGCCAGGTCAGGGAGGCTTTGGTGCAGAGCCAGGTCAGATTCAACATGTTCCGGAGAAGGTTCCGGAGAAGGTTGCAGAAGCGAAGCCAGGTCAGGTTCCATTACTTCACGGAAAATCAGCTGAGGTGTTTCCAGCGCTTGGCTTCCCAGCACGCTTCAGAAAGGTTTGTAAACATATAACGTTGCGGCTGTTGGGGATACCACCGAAGCTTATTTTCTATTCTTTGTGTTTGAGGCACATAAGTTGACTTTATATTGCAGTTGGATATATACTGCAGCTTGAAATCCCCGCACTCTTACCCTTGCGAATAATTGCCGCTGCTGCTGTTCAGCCTGTTGATTAACTCTTCTGGACGCTGCGTCTTTTTGGGTGTTTTTTTGATGCCTTTGCATGGCTTGCCCTACTTCACACCTGTTGTTTTTTCTCAAAAAATTACGATCCCGAAAACTGTGGACAATTTAACCATTGAATCAGGAAAGCTAGCTTCTGCTGCTGAAAGGGGGGCTGGAACTTCCAATCGCATGAAACTTCACAGTCATACCGTAATACCACCCCCCGCGGCTGGCTGGTTCACAAGCACTTTGGCAGTGGCTCAATCCCCCCGAGGACACCGTCGGCACGTTGTCACCGGCAGCAAACCAGCCAATTCGGCAGCATCTGCATCCTCAGCATCATTGTGTTTTCATGCCAAGCTCCCTGCCAAGCTAGCTTTCGTCCCTTACCCATGGGCCTCGGGTCATGTTGATCAGAGCGTTTGGGTCCTGTGGTTGGTTGCCTTGCAAGCACAGGAACTGCCTTTTACCTGTTCCCACAACATGTTCTGAGGCCTTAGTATGCGCTGTGGCCGTGATAGTCTCCCTTAGTCTCTTTTTGAGAACCTCTTGAAATATGGTTTTGATCGTACAAAAATGTAACCCAAGTTCCCTGGAGGAACCGTTTGAAACCAAAAAATGGAATCCAAAGTGCTCACATTTCCAGATATTTGTACTGAACAAGTGTTTGGGGTCTACGGCGGCGTAAAGTTGCATCGCCAAAGGCAACATTGCAATTCTGTATGAGCTTTTCTCATAAGGTCTAGAAGTCCAGTCCTTCCCCCTTGCCAGTTGGATTCCTTGCGTTCTGTCTTCAGAGAGATTGACAGCCGCTGCACCAACGAAGTGAGTTTCGAGGCTTGCAGATTGGATTTCGGACAGAAATTGGGAATTTTGCTGTGGAGTTCTGGCTGATTGGCCCAGGGCTTGTGCAACATATTCTGCGGTTTCGAAATTTGATAAGGAAAAAGAGTGCACAAAAAGCTTTGTCTGGAAGTGGTTTGGGGAAGTGAGGGGTCTTCATACAATTTGGCGAGTTGGTGTGATGTTTCAGTGGTGTATTTCCTCAGTTTGTCTTTATCTTCACACTCGCGGTTTTATCTCACTTCAAACATCAAGTCTGGAAATGCCTGGAAACTCAGTAGGTCTTCACTTCAGACCATTCAGACCTTGATCTTTGGAACGTGCAGCGCAGATGTTTTCAGCGCTAGGACGTTGAGGAGGCAATCTCCAAAGGTGAGCTTGGCAGCTTCATGGAGGCCATGGGCGTCTCCACCGATGATGTCTGGACCGCGGCATTTGAAAAGTGCGGGATTTGTTACGTAGACCTTACTTTCCTCTAAGATTGGGTGTCCATCTTATGGTACCATCAAATTTGTCAGAAAAAGTCATCTTTGTCTTCCCTCGAGGTCCGTTTTTGTGTCAGGAAATGGTGATGGGTTTTGTGCAAGCCCGCCTGCAATCTACAATCCTGCCCTCTATCACTCTACCGTTACCTCAAAATGTTGGTATGCGTTTCTTTGACTGGGTTTGTGAGGACCATGGTTATTGTATTGCTTGCAATGGTAGTTGCTTTGCGATAGTTGAGTTACACCGGCAATGGTGTATGTGTGAAATCGGCGCTGCTCGCACACGGGTAAAACCATTGCAGGCCAGGCAGGTTGTGTCATAGAGCATTTGTATTGTATAGAGAAAACATGATGTAATTGTATGCGTACAAATGTCCGGACACTGCACTGCTGCAACGAAGCAAATGTATTGTGCCAGTGCCATGGACTTATTCCTGCAGCCTGTTGCAGCGCGAACAACATGCTCCTTGACTGGGTTGTGCTGTCTTGTCACACTGCCGGAGTGATGTCTCTCGTGTAATGTGTAAATGAGTCGTGAGGAAATTGTCACGTGTGGTGTAAAATGTGCATGTAAGATGCGAAAACTGAGATAGTGTAGTGTACAGTCCGAACAGGGACTGAGGAAAGAACTGTCGTCAGCTTTTCGGGTTTTGGTGAAGGCTCCCACACTTTGTTGAGTGACCCGCGATTGTATCGAAGCACCGCTGCCAATGAATGGTTGCCGTTTCAAAAATTATCCCGGCAAGAGACCCCAAACAGTGTGTAGTTAGGATTCTTAAAGGGAAGGTGGAAAGGATCTAAAATCATAAGTGGCTGCAAGCTAGCAGGACAAGAGCAACCCTACGGTGGGATCAACAGTAGTAGTGAAAACATGGTGGTGGTCTCTGGAAGAAGAGATGCCAAGTAAGATTCTGCAAGTTCCCTTTTTGAAGATCTCTGTCGAAGAACGTGCGCAAGATCCCCTTGACAGGTTCTCTGTAGAAGCTGCTGTGCAAGATCCCCGTGTAAGGCTATTTGTACAAGGTGTCTATAGGAGATCTCCACAGAAGATCTTTGTAAGGGATCTCAAAGTAAGATCTCTGTTCAAGTTATCTATTAATAACCTCTGAGCAAGACCTCTGCTCTCTTCACCAGGTCTCTGTACAAGATCTCTAAAAGAGGTCTCCTGGCAAGATCCCTGTACAAGATCTCTATGCAATGTCTCTGCACAAGATCTCTGTAAGAGACCTCTTGGCAAGAGCTCTGTGCAGATCTCTATAAGAGGTCTCTTGGCAAGACCTCTGGACAAGATCTCTAAAAGAGATCTCTTGGTAATATCTCTTTATGAGATCTCTGTACAAGCTCTCTATAAGAGTTTTCTTGGCAAGATTTATATAAGAGGCCTCTTGGCAAGATCTCTGCAACAGATCTGTATATGCAATGTCTCTGTACAAGCTCTCTGCAAGAACTCTTTTGGCAAGTCCCTGTAAGAGACCTCTTGGCAAGTCTCTGTACAAGATCTCTATAAGTTATATAAGAGCTCTTTGTACAAGATCTCTGAGCAAGCTGTCTATAAGAGACCTCCCTGTCAAGATCTCTGCGCAAGATCTCCTTGACCATCAAAATGGGCACCGCGCCACAACGAGAGCGATGTGACACGCCCAAAGTGCGGGGAGGGGCGCGCGAGCCATCTCAAAATGAACGCCGCCCACAGCTAGAACGATCTGACACGCCCAAAGTGACGAGAGGGTTCCGCGAGCGGTCTCAAAATAAGCACCGCGCCACAGCGAGAGGGATCTGACAGGCCCAAAGTGACGAGAGGGTTGCGCGAGCCATCTCAAAATGAACGCCGCCCACAGCTAGAACGATCTGACACGCCCAAAGTGACGAGAGGGTTTCGCGAGCGGTCTCAAAATAAGCACCGCGCCACAGCGAGAGGGATCTGACAGGCCCAAAGTGACGAGAGGGTTGCGCGAGCACATGTTAGATTGTCACAAAACATTGTGCGCGCCACCAAAAATATCCAAACATGAACATTGGAAGCAATGCACGGGCAAAGGGGGCCCAGAAATGCGACCAGAAGCCGAGAAGCCGAGAAGCCGAGAAACCACCGGACAAGCCGAGAAGCCGAGAAGCCGAGAAGTACGAAACAAGCCGAGAAGCCGAGAAGCCGAGAAGTATGAAACAAGCCGAGAAGCCGAGAAGCCGGAGAAGCCGAGAAACCGAGAAGTACGAAACAAGCCGTGAAGCCGAGAAGCCGAGGAGCCGCCAGGCAAGCCGAGAAGCCGAGAAGCCGAGAAGCCGCGAAGCCGCGAAGCCGAGAAGCCGAGAAGCCACCAAGCAAGCCGAGAAGCCGAGAAGCCGAGAAGCCGAGAAGCCACCGGACAATCCGGGAAGCCGAGAAGCCACCGGACAAGCCGAGAAGACGAGAAGCCCAGAAGCCCAACGAATGACGCGAATGAAATGAATGAAAGGAATAAGGATCGTCGACCGCTTCAACAATCAAGAAAACCCGCTTCAGCAACCAGCATGACCGATTTAAGAAACCAAAATGACCGATGTATAAGAAACCAAAATGACCGATTCAGCAACCAAAATCGCGTCGCGATTCCAAAGCCAACTGAGAGGCGACCCAAAGACAAAAGGTCCGACTCAAAAACTTAAATGTGCGACTCAAGAACCGGAACGCACGATTCAGCAACCAAAACTTCCGAAACAAAAATGTCACATCTTCAGCATCACAAGACATCAAATCCGCTTACACCCTCTGAATAATACGCTGCACCTTGAGCATTACATGACATCATCCCCGCCATCCCCTCTGAACACTATGTTGCATCTTCAGGGTCGCAAGACAGTAGCCCTGGCACCCCCTCTGAACACTATGTTGCATGTTCACCATCGCAAGACATGCACTCCCCCGCCCCCTCTGAACAATACGTTGCACCTTGAGACATCAGCCCCGCCACCCCCTTTGAACACTATGTTGCATCTTCGAAGATCAACCCAGCGACCCCCTCTGAACACTACGTCGCCCCTTGAGGATTGCAAGACATCAGCCCCGCCACCCTCTCTGAGCACTATGTTGCATCTTGAGCATCATCACAAGACATCAGCCCCGCTCCCTCTGAACAATACGTTGCACCTTGAGCATCACAAGACATCAACCCCGCCATCCCCTCTGAAGACTATGTTGCATCTTCAGCATCACGCTAGGGAGTCTTTAGCGTTTCCTTAGGGTTTCTTTAGGGGTTTCTTTAGGGGTTCTGTATACAGCGTAGGGTTTCTTTAGGGTTTCTTCAGGGGTGTCTTTAGGGTTTCTTAAGGGGTTTCTTTGGGGTATCTTGAGGAATTTCTTTAGGGTTTCTTTAGGGGTTTGTCACGCGCAACGCCTGGGCCTTGCCCAGGCGTTGCAGCGTAGAGGTTTCCCATTCCCAAACAAATGTTGATGCAATTTCACAAAATTATTATGGGAAAAACAACAAAGGTACCAGGGAATATTAAACTCCCACCCCCGTTAAACCTTAAATTCCTATAGGAAAAACAACAAAGGTACTTGGGAATATTAAACTCTCACCCCCGTTAAACCTTAAATTCCTATGGGAAAACAACAAAGGTATTAGGGAATAAAGTCCCACCACCGTTAAGCTTTACATTCATTTACATTCATTGAAGATCTTCAATAAGGGTTTAATTCTCCCACCACCGTTAAACTTCTACATTCATTGACGATCTTCAATACGAGTTTAATTCTCCCACCCTCGTTAAACTTCTACATTCATTGAAGATCTTCAATGCGGGTTTAATTCTCGCACCCCCGTTAAACTTCTACCTTCATTGAAGATCTTCAATAAGGGTGTAATTCTCCCACCCCCGTTAAACTTCTACATTCATTGAAGATCTTCAAGAAGGGTTTCATTCTCACCTTCATTGAAGATCTTCAATAAGAGTCTAATTCTCCCACCCCCGTTAAACTTCTACATTAATTGAAGATCTTCAATACGGGTTTAATTCTCCACCCCTGTTAAACTTCTACATTCATTGAAGATCTTCAAGAAGGGTTTAATTCTCCCACCCGCGCTAAACTTCTACATTCATGGAAGATCTTCAAAAAGGGTTTAATGATTATGACGATGATGGTGATGATGATGATGATGGTGATGATGATGATGATGATGATGATGTTGATGCGTCGCCTGTCGTCATTGCGGGTCCGGGCAAAGCCCAGGCATTTGCTGTTTAGGGAATCCTCAAAGTTTCTTTAGGGGGGTTTTTGAGGTTTTTTGAGGGGTTTCTTTAGGGTTTCTTAGGGTTTTTAGGGTTTCTTTAGGGAGTCTTCACAAGACATCAGCTCCGCCACGCCCTCTGAACAATGCGTGGCATCTTCAACATTACAAGACATCAGCCCCGCCACCCTTTCTCAACATTATGTTGCATCTTCAGCATCACAAGAAAATCAACCCCGCCACCCCCTGTGTCGCAGCGTCGCAGCGCCAACAGCGTCGCAGCGTCGCAGCGTCGCAGCGGCGCAGCGCCAACACCATCGCAGCGTCGCTACCGCGTCGCAGCGTCGCAGCGTCGCAGCGCCAACAGCGTCGCAGCGTCGATCCGGCGTCGCAGCGTCGCAGCGTCGCAGCGCCAACAGCGTCGCAGCGTCGCTCCCGCGTCGCAGCGTCGCAGCGTCGCAGCGCCAACAGCGTCACAGCGTCGCTCCCCGCGTCGCAGCGTCGCAGCGTCAACAGCGTCGCAGCGTCGCTCCGGCTCGGCAGCGTCGCAGTGTCGCAGCGTCAACAGCGCCGCAGCGTCACTGGCCCAATGGCAGCGTCGCAGCGTCACAGCGTCGCAGCGTCACAGCGCCGCCGGCCCCTGGCAGCGTCGCTGCGTCGCAGCGTCGCAGCGCCACCCGCCCCGCATAGCGTCGCAGCGTCGCAGCGTCGCAGCGCCACCCGCCCCCGGGAGC